GGATTACAGGCATGAGTCACTGTACCCAGTCATATTTCTTTTTATTTTGTTTTATTTTTAGAGACAAGGCCTCACTCTGTTGCCCAGGCTGGAGTGCAGTGACACAATCATAACTCACTGTGCGCTTAACTCCTGGGCTCAAACAATTCTCCCCCAGCTTCCCAAGTAGTTGAGACTGCGGGTGCGCACTACCACACCCAGTTTACCTCTGTATTTCTTACAGTTCTTTCTTTTTCTTTTCTTTTTTTTTTTTTTTGAGACGGAGTTTTGCTCTTGTTACCCAGGCGAGAGTGCAATGGCGTGATCTCGGCTCACCGCAACCTCCTTCTCCTGGGTTCAGGCAATTCTCCTGCCTCAGCCTCCTGGATAGCTGGGATTACAGGCACACGCCACCATGCCCAGCTAATTTTTTGTATTTTTAGTAGAGACGGGGTTTCACCATGTTGACCAGGATGGTCTCTATCTCTTGACCTCGTGATCCACCCGCCTCGGCCTCCCAAAGTGCTGAGATTACAGGCTTGAGCCACTGCGCCCGGTCTTCTTTTTTTTTTTTGAGACAGAGTCTTGCTCTGCCGTCAGGCCGGAATGCAGTGTCACGATCTCGGCTCACCGCAACCTCTGCCTCCCGGGTTCAAAGGATTCTTGTGTCTCAGCCTCCCATGTAGCTGGGATTACAGGTGCGCACCACCATGCCCAGCTAATTTTTGTATTTTTAGTAGAGATGGGTTTTCACCTTGTTGGCCAGGATGGTCTCGATCACTTGACATCGTGATCCTCCCACCTTGGCCTCCCAAAGTGCTGGGATTACAGACATGAGCCACCGTGCCCGGCCTTATATTTCTGAATAAGATGCCTGCACGGCTGTTTTTCTCTTTTTTCTTTTTCTTTATTCGATGTTAGACCTGCTCTATCGACTTCCTCTCATGAAAGATGAGGATTCAGTCCTCTATGTCCTGCTCCTCAATGCACAGACACACACTTCACCTCTGTCCTCCCGATAGGGTGTCAAAAATCCAAAATTTTTTGTTAAATCAATATTTAGCATTTAGAGGTCATTTAACGGTAACAATTATTCACAACTGACTCATGTAATATGTGATTCATTCTATTTCTTTAAAAATTTTTATTTTCCTTGGAATTAACAACTAACTGGAAAGACAAATAATCCAATAGAGAAATGGCCAAAGAAGCTGGACGCAGTGCCTCACACCTGTAATCCCAGCACTTGGGGAGGCTGAGGCAGGCAGATCACAAGGTCAGAGATTTGAGACCGACCTGGCCAATAGGGTGAAACCCCATCTCTACTAAAAATACAAAAAAATTATCTGGGCATGATGGCACATGCTTGTAATCCCAGCTACTCGGGAGGCTGAGGCAGGAGAAATGCTTGAACCCAGGAGGTGGAGGTTGCAGTGAGCCGAGATCGCGCCATTGCACTTCAGCCTGGGCAGCAGAGCAAGACTCCATCAAAAAAAAAAGAGAGAGAGAGAGAGAGAGAGAGAAATGGCTAAAGAATATGAAGAGTTCACAGAAAGGAAATGCAAATGGCTTTTAAATGTTTAAAAGAAATGCTCAATCTCACCCATAAGAGAAATGGAAATGAAAACCACACCAAGATCGCAGCACTTCTCATTTATCAGCTTGGCAAACCCCAGAAGTTTACAACACAGCCTGTTGAGGTGGCTTTAGGGAGCAGGCATTTGCAAACGTTGCCAGTGGGAGGGCGAAGCTGTATCACACGCACGGAAGGGGATTTGGAGACACCGAGCAAAATGACAAATGCGTGTATCCTTTAACCTAGTAATCCCCCTTCGGGGAATCTGTCCGGCCGCGATGGCTATGCACATTTGAAACGGAATATGTGTATAGTTATTCACTGTGGCATTCATCGACAGTAGTGAAGTACTGGAAACAACCCAGGCGTCCTATGGAGGACTGGCTAAATAAACAACTGTACATCCACCAGGGGAACTAAGCCACTAGACAAAGGAGTAGGGAAGTTCTCCAAGAAAGACCTCCAGGTGTATTGTAGAGTGAAAATAGCAAAGTGTAGAACAATGTATATAGTATGCCAGAAAAATAAAATCATGTTTTCAGTGGATTTCTTTTTTTTTTTAAAGACAGAGTCTTGCTCTGTCACCAGGGCTGGAGTGCAATGATGTGATCTCCGCACACCTCAACCTCTGCCTCCCAAGTTGAAGCAATTCTCCTGCCTCAGTCCTGAGTAGCTGCAATTACAGGCACACACCACCATGCCCGGCTAATTTTTGTATTTTTTTTAGAGGTGGGGTTTCACCATTTTGGCCAGGCTGGTCTCGAACTCCTGACCTTGTGATCCGCCGCCCATCTCGGCCTCCCAAAGTGCTGGAATTATAGGCGTAAGCGACTGTGCCTGGCCTTATTTGTTGTATTGCTATTCACTTGTACCTTATTTAAAAAAAACTGGGGAGCTAGGGAGAGGAGTGGTGGAGGGGGGAAAAACTGGCCAGGTGCAGCGGCTCACGCCTGTAATCCCAACACTTTGGGAGGCCAAGGCGGGTGGATCACCTGAGGTCAGGAGTTTGAGTCCAGCCTGACCAACATGGTGAAACCCCGTCTCTTAAAAAAATAATTAAATAAATAAATAACAACTGGGGCTGGGCGCAGTGGTTCATGCCTGTAATCCCAGCACTTTGGGAGGCCGAGGCAGGCAGATCATGAGGTCAGGAGATCAAAACCATCCTGGTTAACATGGTGAAACCCCGTCTCTGCTAAAAATATAAAAAAATTAGCTGAGCATGGTGGCACGCGCCTGTAATCTGAGATACTCAGGAGGCTGAGGCGGGAGAATCACTTGAACACGGGAGGCGTACGTCGCAGTGAGCAGAGATTGCATCACTGCACTACTGCTTGGGCGACAGCGCGAGACTCCGTCTCAACAAACAAACAAACAAAAACGCACACTGGACACAGCAATGTGAATGTAGAAAACACTGCTAAACTGCACATGCAAAAATGGCTAAAGTGGTACATTTTATGTTATACGTTGTTCTTGTTTTTAACCACCTTTTTTTTTAGACAAAGTCTTGCTGTGTCTTGATGACAGGAATGCAATGGCACAATCTCGGCTCACTGTACCATCCACCTCCCAGGTTCAAGTGATTCTCCTGCCTCAGCCTCTCAAGTAGCTGGGATTATAGGCATGCTCCACCAAGGCCGGCTAATTTTTGTATTTTTACTAGAGACGGGGTTTCACCATGTTGGCCAGGCTGGTCTCGAACTCCTGACCTCAGGTGATCCACCCGCCTCAGCCTCCCAAAGTGCTGGGATTACAGGCGTGAGCCACCGAGCCCCGCCTTAAATCACTTTTACTTTTGGAGATGAAGTCTCACTCTGTTGCCCAGACTGGAGGGCAGTGGCTCCATCTTGGCTCACTGCAACCTCTGCCTCCCAGGTTCAAGCAATTCTCCTGGCAGCCCCTTTTTTCCTTGGAGACACTCTTCCTTCAGTCCTCCACTCCTGTGCTCTAATCTGGAGTGGGACCTCTTTGGTTCTGGGAAAGCAGGTACCATCATGGAGCTTCCCTTCGCCAGCATTCTGGGAATTCCTTCCCTCTCTTTCCTGCGTAAGACCATTGTTTTCTGGATGCCACGTCTCATTCTTTCCGTGTCTCAACACTTCCTGCGTTTTATAGAGCACAGCTCCAAAGCTGCCTGAGAAATACTGCATGGGAGGCAAAGGTTTTATGTTGTTGAATCACTGAAAGTGCCCTTTATCCTAACCCCATTCTTGATTGTTAGATTAGCTGGGGGTAGAATTCTAAGTTGGAAAACATTTTCCCCTCAGAAATTCAAGGTCACTGATTCAGTTGTCCCAACTTCTAACGCTGCTATTGAGAAATTTAAGTCAAAATGGATTATTGATCCTGTGTATGAATACCAACCTTTATCACTCATTCTAAAATTTCAGTTTTTAGAAAGTTTCTTGGCCCGGACACAGTGGTTCATGGCTAAAATTCCAGCACTTTGGGAGATCAAGGTGAGTGGATCACATGAGGCCAGGAGTTCAAGACCTGGCCTGGCCAACATGGCGAAATCCTATCTCTACTGAAAATGCAAAAAGTAGCCAGGCATGGTGGTGTGTGCCAGTAGTCCTGACTACTTGGGAGGCTGAGGCAGGAGAATTGCTTGAACTCAGGAGATGGAGGTTGCAGTGAGAGATCATGCCACTGCACTCCAGCCCAGGTGACAGAGTGAGACTCTATATCAAGAAAAAAGAAAGGGGAAGGAAGGGAAGGGGAGGGGAGGGGAAGGGTGGGAAGGGGAAGGGGAGGGGAGGGGAGAGGGAGGGGAGGGGAGAGGGAGGGGAGGGGAGGGGAGAGGGGGAAAGAAAGGGAGGGAGGGAAGGGAGGAGGGGAGAGAGGAGGAAGGGAGGAGAAGAAAGTTTTTTGTATTATTTCTTGGGTAACTTCCCACTGCCACCCCCCCCACCCCTCCCCGTCTCCTTTCTCCTATAGTTCAGTCTCCTGGGCTGATTCTCTAATTATTCTATTTTCTTCCTTTCTTCCCCAACTCTGTCTAATTATTCTGCTTTCTCAGAGATTTCCTCAGACTTGCCATCCCTTTGGTTAATTGTTTTTACTGACCTATATTTAATTTCTGAGTAGTTTAGTTTAGTTTTTTTGAGACAGGGTCTCACTCTGTGGCCCAGGCAAGAGTGCAGTGACGCGATCTCGGTTCACTGCAACCTCTGCCTCCCAGGCTCGAGTGGATTCTTCCACCTCAGCCTCCCGAGCCCCCGGGACTACAGCAGACGTGTGCCACCATGCCCAGCTAATTTTTGTATTTGTTAGTAGAGATGACAGTACACTATGTTGGCAAGGCTGGTCTTGAACTCCTTGCCTCAAGTAATCCACCCACTTCAGTCTCCCAAAGTGCTGGGATTACAGGCATGAGCCACTGCGCCTGGCCTTATTTTATTTTTTAATATAACCTGGTTCTGATTTTATCAATAATCTCATACCTGTTTAAAAATACTAATTGCTGGCCGGGCGCGGTGGCTCAAGCCTGTAATCCCAGCACTTTGGGAGGCCGAGGCGGGTGGATCACAAGGTCAAGAGATCGAGACCATCCTGGTCAACATGATGAAACCCCGTCTCTACTAAAAATACAAAGAAAATTAGCTGGACATGGTGGCACGTGCCTGTAATCCCAGCTACTCAGGAGGCTGAGGCAGGAGAATTGCCTGAACCCAGGAGGCGGACGTTGCGGTGCGCCGAGATCGCGCCATTGCACTCCAGCCTGGGTAACAAGGGCAAAACTCCGTCTCAAAAAAAAAAAAAACTAATTGCCATTTTAAAGGTTTTCTTCTACTCCCTGAATGATTCCTATTTCCCTTTGATTTCTTTTTCTCTGTACTTTGGTCTGTTTTCCCCTTGGTGGCTCTCCAGTCACATTTCTGCATGAGGTGGGACACAAAGTGCCGTTGGGTGACTGTGAACACCTGGCTTGCAACGGCACGCCCACCGGAACAAAAGCGCCTCAAGCCGAGGCTCTATGGCAATTCTGTTTACAGACAGAGTGCCAGCACCTAGAGTGTTTTCTAGCGCACAGCAGGTGAAGGGAGGAGGGTGGAAGGCAAGAATAAAAGGCCATCTAGTGGCTTCTCATCTGTTATCAATGTCAATCTTTGGTCTAGGACCATTCTCCGGAATTTTTCCTGAAGAGTCCTCTAATCTCATTCCTGGAAGTGTAACCTGGCTCTCAGGAGACAGGGAGGGGAAGGGAGCAGTGGTCTCACCATCAGCATGCAGACTGCCATTTTTATGTATCTCCTCCTCAGAGTCACTCTGTTTGGTGTTCCTGAGAATACAGCAATGCCCTTCCTGTTTTTAAAGATCCTACTATGTGCTCAGAACATAGTGCTCATATTTTCTGAATATGTTTTCTACGGTATGGAACAAAGTCCCTGCCCTATGAAGCTTATAGTCAGCTGAAGAGAAACATAAAATAGAAAAAAAGATTAGACAGATAGATAGATAGATAGGATATATAGGATATGATATGATACGCATATGTATACATCCTCTCTCTCTCTCTCTCTCTCTCTCTCTCTCTCTCTCTCTCTCTCTCTCTCTCAGGTAGTGACAAGTTCCATGAAGAAAAATAGGCTGGGCACGGTGGCTCATGCCTGTAATCCCTGCACTTTGGGAGGATGAGGCAGGTGGATCAGCTGAGGTCAGGAGTTCGAGACCAGCCTGGCCAACATGGAGAAACCCTGTCTCTACTAAAAATACTAAAAATTAGCCAGGCGTGGTTGTGGGCATCTGTAATCCCAGCTACTCTGGAGGGTGAGGCAGTAGAATCACTTGAACCCAGAATCCCAGAACACGGAGGTTGCAGTGAGCTGAGATCACACCACTGCACTCCAGCCTGGGTGACAGAGTGAGACTCCATCTCAAGAAAACAAAAACAAAGAAACAAAGAAAAACAAAGCAAAATAAGAGGATAAAGAGAGCACAAGGGCTCATGCCTGTAATCCCAGCACTTTGGGAGACCAAAGCGGACGGATCACTTGAGGTCAAGGGTTCAAGACCAGCCTGGTCAACACAGTGAAACCCTATCTTTACTAAAAATACAAATATTAGCCGGGTGCATGCCTGTAGTCCCAGCTACTCAGGAGGCTGAAGCAAGAGAATCACTTGAACCTGGGAGCTGGAGGTTGCAGTGAGCTTACAAGAAAAAAAGAATAAAGAGTAAGAGGTGTGTGTGTCTGTGTGTCTGCATGTGTGTGTGAGCATGCACCATTGTGCATAATGTAGCCATCAGGAAAGAGTCTCACTCTGTTGCCCAGGCTGGAGTGCAATGGCACAATCTTGGTTCACTGCGACCTCCGCCTCCCGGGTTCAAGCAATTCTCCTTCCTCAGCCTCCTGAGTAGCTGGGATTACAGGCACCCACCACCACACCTGGCTAATTTTTTTTGTATGTTTAGTAGCCACAGGGTTTTACCATGTTGAACAGGATGGTCTTGAACTCCTCTCCTCGTGATTCACCTGCCTTGGCCTCCCAAAGTGCTGGGATTACAGGCGTGAGCCACTGCGCCCAGCACTGGAGGGAATATTTGATTGAGCCAAATTTTATCTTGGAGGACAGTTTTGCTTCCTGAGTTTTGAAGTACAAACTCCCTGAGGCTGGAGCATGGCCAGGGAGGTCAGGAAGCCCGAAGAAGGCCAGTGTGGCTGGAGAATGGTGTGTAAAGAGGGAAATGTTTGAGAAATGGTTGGGGCGGGTGCCAGGAGATTGGGAGACCACAGTGTGTGTCTGAATTTCACTGTAAATGTAACTGGGACCCCCTGGAGGGCTTGGCCAGGGGAGCACAGGGTAAGAATTACTCTTTAAAGGATCTCTTGAGGCCAGGTGTGATGGCTCAACGCTTTGTAATTCCACCTGGAGAACTGCTTGAGGCCAGGAGTTTGAGACCAGTCTGGTAACACAGTGAGATTCTTTCTCTCCAAAAAAAAAGACTTTTTTTGGTTTTGGTTTTTTTTGAGAAGGAATTCTCGCTTGTTGCTCAGGCTGGAATGCAATGGTGCAATCTCGGCTCACCGCAACCTCTGCCTCCCGGGTTCAAGCGATTCTCCTGCCTCAGCCTCCCAAGTAGCTGGAATTACAGGCATGCACCACCACGCCCAGCTAATTTCTTTGTATTTTTAATAGAGACCGGGTTTCCCCAGGCTGGTCTCGAACTCCCAACCTCAGGTGATCTGCCCACCTCAGCCTCCCCAAGTGCTGGGATTACAGGCGTGAGCCACCCTAACCAGCACACAAAAAAAATCAGTTTTTTAATTAGGCTGGTATAATGGTGCCTGCCTGTAGTCCTAGCTACTTGGGAGGCTGAGGTGGGAGGATCATTGGAGCCCAAGAGTTCAAGGTTACAGTGAGCTGGGATTATGTCACCGTAGCATCAACATAGCCAGACCCTATCTCTTTAAAATAAGTAAATAAGGCCGGGTGCAGTGGCTCACGCCTGTAATCCCAGCATTTTGGGAGTCCGAGGTGGGTGGATCACCTGAGGTCAGGAGTTCAAGACTAGCCTGGCCAACATGGTGAAACCCTGTCTCTACTAAAAATACAAAAAATTAGCTGGGCACAGTGGTGGGCACCTGTAATTCCAGCTACTCTGGAGGCTGAGGAAGGAGAATCGCTTGAACCCAGGAGGCAGATGTTGCAGTGAGCCAAGATTACGCCATCGCACTCCAGCCTGGGTGACAAAGTGAAAAAAAAAAGAATAGGACAAACGGTGAGAGTAGAGGGGAGGCTCCTGCCCAGGTCCAGGTGAGAGGGGATGGTGGCTCAGCCAGGGTGGCAGAGGTGGAGGTGGTGAGCTGGGGTTGGATTCGGGACATACACAAAGGTAGATCTGACAGGTTGGCTGAGGATTGGGTGATGGGTCAAAGGACAGAGTCCCGGGTGACATCTGTTTTTGTGTGTGGGGAATTTGCTGGTGCCATTTTCTGAGGAGGGAGTCAGTAGGGGAGGGTGGGTTCAGGGTGGAGATCAAGAATGCACTCTGGCCTCGTGAAATGTGGGATGCCAGTTGGACGCCCTGGTGGAAATGCTGTGTAGACAGTGGGTCCACATGTGGAAGGTTAGAATGAGGTCTGGGTTGGATGTAAATGTGTGAGTCCTCAGCTTATAGCTGGTGTTTACAGAGGGATCCTTGAAATCTCCCAGGGAGTGAATGTACTCAGGCCTGTGGGCAGGGTTCCCATGGGGCAGGGCTGGCAGAGATGTAGCTGCTTCTCTCTGGTCATGTGGGAAAGACCTGGGACCTAAACATCCGAGATTCCCATTCCCAAGCCACACCCCTATTTCCAGCCTTGGACCACACCCTGCCTTGGGAGATGCCTTATCCCTCTGAAATCCTGAGCTGTCCCTGGGTTCTGGGGGAACCAACAGACTGGCTTTTGACTGGACTCTGCTCTTCAGGCACTCAGCTGAGCGCTGCTTCCTCTCCCGGCACACCGGTTTCCACTCCCCACCTGCTGTCTATCTTCCAAAATGCGCTCAGCCTCTCATGGAATGCGGCCTCCTCTCCCATCCTTGGGGGAGCTACTCTGTTACCAGGGAGTGACTCGCAGTGGTCTGTTTTCAGAAACAGACCTGTGTGTTTAGCCTCTTGTGTTTCTCTAAGCCTTTGAAGGACGGAATTTAGTGTCACCACAGAAAGGGCTGAGGATTTAAAGTCAAACAGACCTGAGTTCAAATCTCAGCTCCTCCATTTGTAGCCCTTTAAGCCCACTGGTCCCCACTTAGAAGGGGATAATCCCTATTTCTCAGTTATCATGAGGAGAAGCTGGTTCCCTCAGTCTCCCCACCCCTTATAAATTCAACTCCCCAGGAGATGAAAGTAGAATGAGAGTTGGCACCAAGCCTGGCACACACCTTCATCCCAACACTTGGGGAGGTTGAGACAGGAGAATCTCATGAGCTCAGGAGTTTGAGACCACCCTGGGCAACACAGGGAGACCCCATCTCTACAAAATAATACAAAAATTAGCCCGGTGTGGTGGCATGTGCCTGTAGTCCCCGCTTCTTGTGAGGCTGAGGCAGGAAGATCACTTGAGCCTGGGAGGCTAAGGCTGTAGTGAGCAGTGATCTCGCTACCACACTCCAGCCTGGGAACAGAGTGAGACCTTGCCTCTAAAAAACTTTTCTTAAGTAAAAAATATAAAGGAAGCCCGGGCACAGTGGCTCGTGCCTGTAATCCCAGCACTTTAGGAGGCCAAGGAGGGTGGATCACGAGGTCAGGAGTTAGAGACCAGCCTGACCAACTTGGTGAAACCCCATCTCTACTAAAAATACAAAAAAAAAAAAAAATTAGCTGGGCATGGTGCCACGCACCTGTAATCTCAGCTACTCAGGAGGCTGAGGCAGGAGAATTGCTTGAACCCAAGAAGCAGAGATTACAGTGACCCGAGATTGCGCCACTGCACTCCAGCCTTGGTGACAGAGCTAGACTCTGTCTCAAAAATATATACATTTATATATGTATGTATGTATATATTTATATATATAAATTAGAATGGGAATAAAAAGAGACAAAAAGGCTGAGAGGAAGAGACAGAGAGCCTACCAGGGAGGAAGGCCACGCCCACCCCAGGTTCATCCCCAGCTGCTCCCAGGCCCGCTCATCACAGCCATTTCTTTCCCGGGAACTGGATGGGCTTGACCATCCTGCATTTGTCTAACTTTGAAGCCAAGCAAGGAAGTAACATTAATATGACAAGTGAGGTCCGAACAACAGAAGGAGCTGCATTTCCATTTGGTAACCATAAACCTATCCTGCCCCCGGCCCCAGGAGTGGGGGATCTTCACGCCCAGGTCCTCTGTGTCCGGGTGAAGCACATCCACGGGGATCAGGCATCAGAAAGGGCTGCTTACTTATGCTGAACATCCCCTCCAAAGAGGACTACAGTTGCACGCAGCTGATTTCCAAACTTGAACCAAAAACTCTTATAGAAATATGGATGTCTGCTGGGGGCGGTGGCTCACACCTATAATCCCAGCACTTTGGGAGGCAGAGGCGGGTGGATCACCTGAGGTCAGGAGTTCAATACCAGCCTGGCCAACATGGCAAAACCCCGTCTTTACTAAAAATACACACACACACACACACACACACACACACACACACACTTAGCTGGGCTTGGTGGTGCAGGCCTGTAATGCCAGTTACTTGGGAGGATGAGGCAGTAGAAACGCTTGAACCTGGAAGGCAAAGGTTGCACTCCAGCCCGGGCAACAAGAGGGAAACTCCATCAAAAAAAAAAAAAGAAATATGGATGTCTTCAGTCCCGACCAGCCCCAGCCCTCTGTCACACACCACATGCACAGCACGTCACACGTCACATCATGTGCCAAGCCATATCAAGGAGGACTTTGCTCTGGGGCCGGTGTCACAATACTTCAGGCAGCAATGCTGGAGTGATCCACACACGAAAGCAAACAGGCAGCCCTCTAGAACTTTCTGGAAGTTTAGAAACTTTCCTGTTCTTGTCTGAAAACCCATGTCTTTGCCATAATGTGGTTTAGGACAGATCACAATCCCGAGATTCCCCAGATCAATTCTGAGGCTGGTGTTGCTGCTTTGGAACGTCACTCTGTATCTCCATAAATCGAGCAGATGCCACTGTGTGCCGGGCACTGGCAGAGGCCTTGGGGCAGTCTCACTCACACCCACCAGGTGCCACAGTGTGGGCTTTGGAGTTCAGTCCTGCAGACTTGAGCCTGAAGTACAATGCCACCGTGTGCCAGCTGGGCACCACTGACACTCTAGGGCTCCCAAGGTGACACTCCTTCCAGCCTTAGAGGTTACTGTGAGGGTTAATGCAACAGACTGTATGAAGCTCCCACGTGTCTGGTATATGGTAGATGCTTAACAAGTTGTCATAGTTATTATTACCAATAAGTAAAAGTATGACCAGGAGTGGTGGCTCACGCCTGTAATCCCAGCACTTTGGGAGGCTGAGGCGGGTGGATCACCAGGTCAGGAGTTCTAGACCAGCCTGGCCAACATGGTGAAACTCTGTTTTAAAAGAAAAAAAAAAAAAGTAAAAGTGTGTGGCCAGGCGTGGTGGCTCATGCCTGTAATCCCAGCACTTTGGGAGGCCAAGGCGGGTGGATCACAAGGTCAAGAGATTGAGACCATCCTGGCCAACATGGTGAAACCCTGTCTCTACTAAAAATGCAAAAATTGGTTGGGCATGATGGTGCGTGCCTGTAATCCCAGCTACTCAGTAGGCTGAGGCAGGAGAATCGCTTGAACCTGGGAGGTGGAGGTTGCAGTGAGCTGGGATCATGCCACCGCACTCCAGCCTGGCCATAGAGCAAGACTCCGTCTCTAAATAAATAAATAAGTAAAAATGTGTTGCTTCCTGGGTGTCGGGAAAGTGTCAAAGTCACGAAAGGCTACAGGAGTTCAGAGGGTGGAGCCATCACCAAGCTGCCCTTCCTGGGAGACGTGGAACTTAGCGTAGTGTTGCCAGATAAACTGCGGAACTCCCATTTGAACTTGAATTTCAGGTAAACAATGAATCTTTTTTTAGCATATGTCTCGAATATTGGATTGGACATACCTAATACCAAAAAAAGATTTCTTATTTACCTGCAATTCAGATTTAACTGGGTATCCCATATTTTCATTTACGAAGTCAGCCTAATCTGAAGAAAGGGCGGTGTAGACGGACTTCCGGGAGAGGTCGGAGGGGAGCCTGCCAGGCTGAGAGGGAGAGCTAACATGCCCGTGCTCTTACATCTGCCAGGTGCTGTGCCGGGCAGTTTACAAGTGCCACAAATCCCTGTGAGGTATTTATTATTCTTTTCACTTTATAGACGAGGGCACTGAGACTGAAGGCCACTGCAAGTTAGGATTTAAACCCTGGGTCTGCCTGGTCCCTAAGCACCTGTTTCTTCCCATGTACCACATCCTGAGGGCAACAGGGAAGCAAAGCAGAAGGGCATGAACCTTCACGTTAGAGCCCAGCACCCACCTGCCTCAGTGCTGTTCCCATACAGGCCCACTGTTGAGTACCACGGTTCTACAGGGCCTCTATCTTTTCTTTTTCTTTCTCCTTCCTTTCTCTCGCTCTCTCTCTCTCTTTCTTTTTGATGGAGTCTCATTCTGTTTCCCAGGCTGGAGTGCAGTGACGCAATGTCGGCTCACTGCAACCTCTGCCTTCCAGGTTCAGGCAATTCTCCTGCCTCAGCTTCCCAAGTAGCTGGGATTACAGGTGCACGCCACCACACCCAACTATTTTTTTTTTTTTAGACAGAGTTTTACTCTCTTTGCCCAGGCTGGAGTGCAATGGTGGGATTTCGGCTCACTGCAACCTCCACCTCCCTGGTTGAAGTGATTCTCCTGCCTCAGCCTCCCGAGTAGCTGGGATTATAGGCATGCGCCACCATACTCACCTAATTTTGTGTTTTTAGTAGAGATGGGGTTTCTCCATGTTGGTCAGCTTGGTCTCAATCTCCCAAAGTCAGGTGATTGTCCACCTCTGCCTCCCAAAGTACTGGGATTACAGGCCTGAGCCACCGTGCCTAGCCTCTTTCTTTTCTTTCTTTTTTTTCTTTCTTTCTTTCTCTCTCTCTCTCTTTCATTTAGATGGAATCTCGCATTGTCACCAGGCTGGAGTGCAGTTGGATGATCTTAGCTCACTGCAACCTCCGCCTCCCGGGTTCAAGAGAGTCTCCTGCCTCGGCCTCCCAAGTAGCTGGGACTACAGGCACGTGCCAACACACCTGGCTAATTGTTTATATTTTTAGTAGACACAGGGTTTTACCGTGTTAGCCAGACTGATATCGATCTCCTGACTTCATATTCTGCCTGCCTCAGCCTCCCAAAATGTTGGAATTACAGGCGGGAGCCACCGCACCTGACCTACACTTAAGTATTTAAAAATGTTTCATGCTCTGAACTTTACGTCATTTGGAGTATAGATGTAGGCTGATGCGGCGGCTCCAGCCTGTAATCTCAGCACTTTGGGAGGATCGTCTGAGCCCAGAGGTTTGACACCAGCCTGGGAAACATAGTGATACCATCATCTCTACAGAAAATTTAAAAATTAGCCGGGCGTGGTGGTGCGCGCCTGTAGTCCCAGCTGCTTGGGAAGCTGAGGTAGGAGGACTGCTTCAGCACAGGAGGTTAAGGCTGCAGTGAGCGCAGGTCATGCCACTGCTCTCCAGTCTCCGTTACAGAGCGAGACCCTGTCTAAAAACAAACACCAAAATATAGAAATGATTGTGTTAAATTTAGAACTGATGGAATTAAAAATACAATTTGAAGAAAATGTGGTTTTATTTTGTTGTGATACATACTATCTGTCTTGCAAGGAAATCTTTTGTCTGGCAATAGCATTTATGAGGGGTAAGAAAAATCTGTGGCAAATTCATCTTTATTATGAAGTTTCCTGGCACCTGATTGATGAAGGATGGTGCCACACCAGCCACTGGGCACTGTTTTCTGTGGTGGCTTCTGGGGCCGGGTGGAACACAGGACTGAGCATGGAAAGAACACTTCATTCACATGAATCATTCAGAGGCACCCAAAATGCTGCTTTGTGAAGTGGGAATGTTAAAATGAGAAACAGTCTGGGCGTGGCGGCTCACACTGGTCAAGAGTTCGAGACCAGCCTGGCCAAATGGTGAAACCGTGTCTCTACTAAAAATAAAAAATTAGCTGGGCTTGGTGCCACATGACTGTAGTCCCAGCTACTTGGGAGGCTGAAGCAGGAGACTTGCTTGAACCCGGGAGGTGGAGGTTGCAGTGAGCCAAGATCATGCCACTGCACTCCAGCCTGGGCAGCAGAGTAAGACTGTGTCTCAAAAAAAAAAAAAAAAAAGGAAATGAAATACTTAAGTGTAATGGCTTTTACCAAGATGGGTCCATGTCAATATGGGGTTTTTATTTTCTGCAAAGTAATTCCCTTAAAAAAAGAAGAAGTTTAATTCAACAAACATTAACCAAGATCCCACCCTGGGCACGAAGCTGCAGGGAAGACAACAGCCAAGACAAGTTCTGGTCCTCAAAGGACTTGTGACGGGAAGGGACACATATTCAGCTAAATTTCAGAAGAGAAAGAACAAAGTCAACATTGTAAGAGACAAAATGTCACAGGGGCCCAGAAGAGAGAGTGATTAATTCGCTCTGTGGGGAGATGGTACGGAGCCAGGCTGGGAAGCCTGAGTGGGATTTGACAGCTGGTGAAGGCATCCCAGGCAGAGGGAACAGCTTAGGCAAAGGTAGAGGCCACCATGTGCGGGGGTCTAATCATCACCATCTAATTTATCAGCCTGCATGTCGCTCTAGTCTAATTATGATGTCTTGTCAAATATTAGCACACCTGCTCCCTTTAGAAGTCACAACCACATACCTGTATTATTAGCCCTGAAGGCCTTTAGCTAATGATTTATAAAAGAGTGGCTTTTAAAAAGATGCTAATTTCCCAGACTAAACCACCCTCGCAGGTCCAGAGGCCCCTTCCGCACATTCCAACACTGGGAACACACACCCTGACAAAAACAGACCCCTTTTCTTGCCCCTGCTTCTTGCCGGCTCTTCGGCCTCTCTGCCTCTAAATCCAGTCATTAACTCGTCCTCCAGGCCACACACGCACGCGTATTACCAACAACCCATCCATGGTGCCAGACAGGAAACACATTTGGAGGAGTTTAAACAATTTTAAAATGTGCTTTCAAATTTTACAACTTGCTTGACTTGCCCGAGGGAGGAACCAAGCCCCGTATATAAATGTCACCACAAACTGGCTTGCTGCATATCCCACCCAGCTTGGGGACCTGGGGTGTCTGGGGGGTTGTTTATTTTTATTTTATTTTTCTTTCTTTCTTTTTTTTTTTTTTACATTTCATCTGTGTCTTCTGTGGGCACTGGCTTTTTAAATCATGTTTATTTTATATGCTCTCCCAGTAGCCAGAGGAGAGGAGACACTTTCTCATTCCACAGACCAGCAGCCACACAGCCGGCCTAGGACGAAAGCATTTAGCAAGCTCTAGGATGACCTCTGAAGAAACATCTCAAGGAGAGGGTTTCCTGGCAGTGAATCAGACAGTTCCTAGACCCAGGGCACTGTAGAGCAGAGGAAGGGCCCCTTCCCTGGCAGCAGGGGTAGGATGGACCTCTCTAGACCTGGGAGGAGTTAAACCTCAGGGCCCCAGCCCCTGGCCCAGTGCCTTATCCACAAAAAGTCCTCAGGATACCACAGCAGCTTCCTCACCCACTGTCCCTCTCACTGGTTCACAAACAAGGGTCTCCAGTTAACTTTTGTTCATTGAGTTTTTCTGTTTTTTTGTTTTGTTTTGTTTTTTAGACAGAGTCTCACTATGTCGCCCAGGTTGGAGTGCAGTGGTGCAATTTCAGCTCACTGCAACCTCTGCCTTCCTGGTTCAAGTGATTCTCCTGCCTCAGCCTCCCAAGTAGCTGGGATTACAGGCACCCGCCACCATGCCCGGCTGATTTTTGTATTTTTGTAGAGACGGGGTTTCACCACGTTGGCCAGGCTGGTCTTGAACTCCTGCGCTCAGGTGATCTGCCCGCTTCAGCCTCCCAAAGTGCTGGGATTACAGGTGTGAGCCACCGCGCCTGGTGTTTTGTTTTTTGGTTTTTGGTTTTTTTTTTTTAGGTTTGCCAGGAAAAAAAATGGGGATCGGGCAGAGGGAAGGAAGAGCTTGGGAGTGTCCTGGGCCAGGTGGAAGGGTGTCGGGAGGAGCCAGATGAATGGTTTTCATGAGGACCGTGGGGCCTACGGGGCCTGGCTCTGCACCTTTAGCGACTAAATGCAGCCCAGAGTTGGAGACAGGACCTGCCCCTCACCTGTGCAATGTACCACCCGGTGCGGTAAATTGAACTCCTGAGGCTATGTCCTCAGCTCCTGTGACCTTATCCTTGACTGCCCTCATCCCAGGCAGGTGGTCCCTCGCTTGGCCCAGGCTTTCTGCAGAAGGACTTGGCTGAGCTGCTGTCCCAGGAGGGGCCGTGGCAGCCACCTATGGGGAGTGTGGTGGCTGAGTACACGCTGGGGTTGGAAATCGCCTCTCAGGAGCGTGGTGGCCTGCAGGGGCTGAGGAACGTTCAAGGAGGACTAGCAGTCCCACTGCAGCACAGCGTGGCGGCAAGTGTGCAGATCCGGGCTCAGTCCAGCCCCAGCGAAGGCTGTCAGGACCCCATGCATAGAGGTGGCTATGAATGTAAGAAAGATGAATCTAAAAGTCAGATGATTAAAAAAAAATCAAGCCTGGTGCGGTGGCTTATGCCATTCCCCGAAATGTTTTTGGAGATTCCCCCTTATCCCGTCTGAGACTACATTCCCCTCCCCCAGACCAATCCCTGTGACCTGGGGCTGTTCTGCTGGGACTGGCCGGACTCAGGATATTTGCCCACTACTGAACCTGGGAAGTGGGGTGATCCCACTCAAACCACAAACAAGCCAAGGAAATCAGGAGCAGATGTGTTTCGAAGGAACGAGAAGGAGTTCTATTTCAAAAGGTTAAATTCAAAGTGCTTGGAAATTGACAAAAAAATATATTGGAAGTTGCAAATGAAAGCCTGGAATAGTGTTTTGAGTTAGAGAAGTGAAAAGAGAACATAGGACTAGGGTTTGAGGCCCCGGAATTGCCATTCGTGAGGGTGGAGAACTGACTTTCAAATGCAATCCCTGCAGGGGGCCAAGTATATATTTCAGGAAGGCAACATATAATCTTTAGCTGGCATCTCATCACCTCAGTCATCCCAGAAGAAAGAGAACAAATCTACGGACCGGGTGTGGTGGCTCACACCAGTAATCCCAGCAGTTTGGGAGGCTGAGGTGGGCAGATCATGAGGTCAGGACTTCGAGACCAGCCTGGCCAACATGGTGAAAACCCACCTCTACCAAAAATACAAAAATTAGCAGGTCGTTGGTGGCGTGCACCTGTAGTCAAAGCTACTCAGGAGGCTGAGGACCAGGCTCACTTGAACCAGGAGGTTGAGGCTGTAGTAAGCTATCTCAGCTTTTTTTGAGGCCGTATCTCAAAAAAATCAAATCAAATAAAATGAGGACAATAATACTACCTACCTCTCACGGTGACTGTGAAGATTAACTGGATCCATGTACACGAAGGGCTTCAAATGAGCCTGGAACGGAGAACATGTTCTATAAACATGAGCCGATGCTGTTACTATTCCCAGGGCAACTTCCCAATTAAATACAACCCCTCAGCTTGTTTCTGCAGCCAACCTGGGTTTGCCCAAGGGCCCTTCTCCAGCCCAATCTGGAATGCCCTCAGCCCATTTAAAACCAATCTCCCGGTAAGCCCAGTCTCCACCAAAGGACCTCCCCTAGGACGTCCACCACTCCTAGACATGGGGATCTGTGCCAGGACAGGACTGCTTTTTTCTGAGCCCCACAGGGCCGTGTGCCTCCCCCAAGGAATTTACACATTCCACCTGGCATTCCAGCTATTTGTTTTCTCCTGCCTCCCCTCTCTGGGTGGTTTCTGGCCTCCTCCCTACTCCCCCTTGCCCAAGCTCTGTCTCTTCAGAGCTTTCTGTACCCTCCTCCCACCTTTACTTAGTCAAGTCCTACTCCTGTTTAAGACGAAGCTCAGGGTCCCCCAGACCCAACAGCACCCGGTGCAGGCTGGTGGACTTCATGATACCAGGGCCAAGAGGAAGAAGGAGAGCAGGACAGGGTGGGGGAGACTACAGTGGAGCCAGGGGAGGAAAAAGGACCAGGAAGGAAGGAAGAAGGAGCTCTGGGGGATGGCTCTTCCCCATTACCTTCCCCTCGCCTCTGCAGGGGCGGGGCAGTGTGGCCCACGGGATTCCATTCCTTTGGGCATAGAATGCCCTTGCTCACCATCTTCACCCAAGAACCCTCAAAAGTCACTTCCCCCACTCATCACTCTTCCCTCGAGGAACCTCAGCACGCTTGGCCACCTCATCCTAGGGTATTTACCACATACTACCATTTGTGGTCCTGGGACTCCTCCCCACTTCCCTATATCCTTACTCCCAGTATCAGCACGTTTGCCTCCTGTCTGCCTGTGCAGGGACCATGCGAGGGGAAACGCACAACCACGCGTGCTTCTGCACAACCCACTCCCAGGCTTAGTGCCAGGCCCGCACATCTATTATTTCATGTGATCCCTGTAATAATTGCACAGAGGCCGGGCGCAGTGGCTCATGCCTGTAATCCCAGCACTTTGGGAGACCGAGGCAGGTGGATCACTTGAGGCCAGGAGACCAGCCTGGCTAACATGGTAAAACCCCATCTTTACTAAATATACAAAAATTTTGGCCTGGCGCAGTGGCTCACGCTTATAATCCCAGCACTTTGGGAGGCCGAGGCGGGTGGATCACGAGGTCAAGAGATCGAGACCATCCTGGTCAAAAAGGTGAAACCCTGTCTCTACTAAAAATACAAAAATTAGCTGGTGTGCACCTGTAGTCCCACCTACTTGGGAAGCTGAGGCAGGAGAACTGCTTGAACCCAGAAGGCGGAGGTTGCGGTGAGCCGAGATCGTGACATTGCATTCCAGCCTGGGTAACAACAGTGAAACTCCATCTAAAAAAAAATACAAAATTTAGCCAGGTGTGATGGCACCCCACCTGTAATCCCAGCGACTTGAGAGGCTGAGGCAGGAGAATCACTAGAACCTGGGAGGTGAATGTTGCAGTGAGCTGAGATCACACCACTACATTCCAGCCTGGTGACAGAGTGAGACTCCATTTCAAAAAAATAAAAGTAAAAATAGTAATAATAATTGCACAGAGAAGGTAGTCTTGACCCTATTTTATAATGAGGAAAAGATGAGGCTCAGAGAGGTTCAGTAACTTTCCCAAGTTTCCGCAGCTGTGCCCCAGACCCGCCCCCTCTCTGCATTGTCTCCCTGCTCACCCGCTGCCTATCAGACCTGGCCTGCATCACCTAGGCCCAGCGCCTGTTATACAAACAAACAAATGGGATGGCCATTAACTGGACATCTCCCGCCTGCAGGGACAGGCCAGGGTGAGTCAAGCCCTGGGGAAGTGCCTCTCAGAGCCTGTCCCACAACCGCCTCAGGTTCCCTCTGAGACTGTCCCACACCCTGCCCTTTCCTTTCCCTCCTCTACTCATTCCCCGCATTTGCTCCCAGTAGATACAGCACTTGGTGCCAAGGCTTTCCTTTATCCCCAGGACAGCCAGGCAAGTGGGGCGTAGAAGAAATAGCATGATGTGGATCCAAGCCCCATCAAGTGTACCCACCTGAGTTTCTTGTTGTTGTTCTTTTGAGATGGCTGGAGTGCAGTGGTGCAATCTCGGCTCACTGCAACCTCTGCCTCCTGGGTTCAAGCCAGATTCTCCTGCCTCAGCCTCCCAAGTAGCTGGGACCACAGGCATGCACCACCACTCCCAACTAAATTTTGTATTTTTAGTAGAGATGGGGTTTCACTATCTTGGCCAGCCTGGTCTCAAATGCCTGACCTCAGGTGATCTGCCCGCCTGGCCTCCTAAAGTGCTAGGATTACAGGTGTGAGCCACCACACCTGGTCTTCCTTTTTTTTTTGAGAGAGTAAAAGAGAGTCTCGCTCCATTGCCCAGGCTGGAGTGCAGTGGTGCCATCTTGGCTTACTGTAGCCTCTACTTCCTGGGTTCAAGCAATCATCCCACCTTAGCCTCCCAAGTAGCTGGGGACCACAGGCATGTGCCACAATGCCCAGCTAATTTTTTTTGTATTTTTTGTAGTGATGGGTGGCTCACGCGTATAATCCCAGCATGTTGGAAGGCCAAGGTGGGCGGATTACTTGAACTGAAGAGTTTGAGAACAGCTTGGCCAACATGGTGAAACCCTGTCTCTCCTAGCCGGTCATGATGATGAGTGCCTGTAGTCCCAGCTACTTGAGAGACTGAGGCACAAAAATTACTTGAACCTGGGAGTCGAAGGTTGTAGTGAGCGGAGATCGTGCCACTGCACTCCAGCCTGGGCGACAGAGTGAGACTCAATCTCAAAAAAAAAAAAAAGATGGGGTTTCACCACATTGCCCAGGCTGGTCTCAAACTCCTGGACTCAAGTTTGCTAACCTCAGCCTCCCAAAGTTCTGGGATTACAGACATGAGCCACTGTGCCTGGCCCTCCACCTGAGTTCTGAATACCAACACCTTTCAGAGCCTTGGGTTTCTCACTGGTCAGTGGGGATGTAATTCCTGCCCTTGCCCACCTCGCAATGTGTAGGAGTCTATAAAGAGGAAATCGTATGTGATAAAATGTACAACTGAAAACACTGGACTGTAATAAAATGTTACACAAATGTAAGGGATTCCAAGTTGGTTGTAACATGGGCATTAAACTGTAACTTCTCAAAGATATTGACCATAAAACTTACAGAGCCGTGGGAAAAAAAAGATCAAGAAGTGTGTGTGCTCCTAAGCCTTCTTTTTTTTTTTTAATCAGTCTCCATAGAGACTGTCAAAAATTGCCAGTGCCGACTGTATTGCAAGTTGTCACAGTGGGCTATTGGGAAAAGTTTTCTTTCTTTTTTGAGACGGAGTTTCGCTCTTGTTACCCAGGCTGGAGTGCAATGGCATGATCTCGGCTCACCGCAACCTCCGCCTCCTGAGTTCAGGCAATTCTCCTGCCTCAGCCTCCTGAGTAGCTGGGATTACAGGCACGCGCCACTATGGCCAGCTAAGTTTTTGTATTTTTTTAGTAGGGACGGGGTTTCACCATGTTGACCAGGATGGTCTCGATCTCTTGACCTCGTGATCCACCCGCCTCGGCCTCCCAAAGTGCTTGGATTACAGGCTTGAGCCACCACACCCGGCCTTGGGAAAAGTTTTCAATTAGCATTAATCACGCCTCGGATAAACCTCATTGGCTACGATATTGCCACTGCGTGAAGCTGAGCCTTAACTTCTATGGGTGATTTTTTTTCTCTACATTTTCTTTTTTCTTTTCTTTTATTTTGAGACAGAGGCTCACTCCTATTGCCCAGTCTGGAGTGCAATGGCACGATCTCAGCTCACCACAACTGCCACCTCCTGGGTTCAAGCTATTCTCCTGCCTCTGCCTCCCAAGTAGCTGGGACTACAGGCATGTGCCAGCATGCCCAGCTAATTTTTGTATTTTTAGTAGAGACAGGGTTTCTCCATGTTGGTCAGGCTGGTGGTCTCAAACTCTCCATCTCAGGTGATCCGCCTGTCTCAGCCTCCCAAAGTGCTGGGATTACAGGCGTGAGCCACCGTACCTGGCCTTCTCTACATTTTCTGCACTAAGCACGTTACTTCAACTTCAACTAGCTGATATTCTATCATTTGCAGCCAGAATCACTCCTCACTTATATAATGTCCCAAACTGAACTCTCCATTCATCCTTCCTAGGCCTGCTCCTCCCCTGTGTTTCCAATTCGTAAGGAGCACTCCTGCCCACAAAGCCACGCCGGACTTCTCCCAGCCTGATGCCCACGGCTCAGCTCTCACACTCGTCTCTGTCCTCTGCCCTCCACCCATTTGCCACTCTTCTGCTCCCCCCATCTCATCCAGGGACAGGATTTGGGGGGAGCAGAGGACAGGGAGCTGAGCCGTGGGTATGAGGCTGGGAGTGCCACTGTACTCCATCCAGCCTGGGCAACAGAGAGAGAAACTGTCTCAAAAAACACAAACAAAAATTAGCTGGACTTGATGGCGTAAGCCTGTGGTCCAATTATTTGGAAGGCTGAGGTGAGAGGATCGCTTGAGGCCGGGAAGTGGGCACGAGGCTCCCCACCTCAAGATTGAGGAGTAGCTGAGGAGGGGTGAGCAGAGGGCAGAGACGGATGAGTGGCTCTTGGCCCTAGGCACTCCTGCTGGAGCTCCTGCAACTCAGGCCTAATCAGCCCTCTACCTCTGGGCTCCCTGCCCCACCTCATTCTAGTCCCCACAGTGATTTTTCTAAAATACAAATCTGATTATGTTTCCTGCTTAACCAACTATGGGCTCCAGAGTGACGTCCAAAATCCTTAGCATGGCCCACACACACTCTCTGTCCCATCTCCTGCCACTCCCACAGGCATATTCTATAATTTTTTTAAGAGACAGGGTCTTACTATGTTGCCCAGGCTGCACTTGAACTCTTGGGCTTAAGTGATCTTCATGCCTCAGCCTCCCAAGTTGGGACTATGGGTGTACACCGTCACACCCAGCTATTCTCCAGAGCATTCACTGCACAAGCTCTCACCTCTCTACCTGTTCTTTGTTCCCTCCTCCCTGAATGGGGATGCCTACTTATTCTCCAAAACCCTTTTCAAATAGATCCTCTTCTGTGAAGCACTCCCCACCCCAGATAAACATTCCTTCCTCTGAGTCCATAGCTTGTTATACTACTTATGCCCCATTACACTTCTTATCGTGTATTCTAATTACACAGTGACCAGAATTATACATTCTTTAGGATAACGATGTGTTTCAGCATCCCCAGTGCCTCCCAGTATAGTGTTTGTCTTAAATGGTTACTAAATTTCTGGTGGAAAAGGCCCCAGGGTAAAGCACCTTCTGGCTGGGCGCGGGGGCTCACGCCTATAATCCCAGCACTTTGGGACGCCAAGGCACATGGATCACCTGAGGTCAGGAGTTCGAGACCAGCCTGACCAACATGGCAAAACCCCTTCTCTACTAAAAATATAAAAATTAGCCAGGTGTGCTGATGCACCCCTGTAATCCCAGTTGCTCAGGAGGCTGAGGCACAAGAATCTCTTGAACCCAGGAGGCAGGGGTTGGATTGAGCCTAGATCATGCCACTGCCCTCCAGCCTGGCAAGAGAGTGAGACCCTGCTTCAAAAAAAATAACAAATACATAAAAATACAGCATCTGCTGCTCTCTGTGCAGAAGTTGAGTCCCATCCTTCCGAGCATCTGCTCTTCTCATCTCCCTCCCACTCCCCATCCTACCCAACTTCCTCTTCCCTGCAGTGGACTTTCCCTTTCACCTTCTCCCACAGAGTCTGGTCCCTCCTGAGTGTGATGTGGAGTGGAAAATTTACAGAATATGTCTGGGGGAGTGGCAGGAGATGAGACAGAGGCGGTGTGGGGGCCATGTTGCCGAGGGCCGTGAGTGCCATGCTAAAGGATTCTGAAATTACCCTGCAGCCCTTAAGTAAAGTTATAGTCACCTCCATCCTCAGTAAGATCACTGGACCAGCATCAAAAGATCTAGCTTTGGTTTGACAATATCAAAAGCTTTTTCACACATCCATATGCCCAAATGTAAGCCGGTTCAGAGTAGGTGCTCAATAAGTGCTTGTTGTTAAAGTCAGTCGCAGGGTTATTTCTAAGTTCTTCTTTTTTTTTTTTTTTTTTTTTTTTTTTAAAGAAGGAGCCTCACCATGTTGGTCAGGCTGGTCTTGAACTCCCGACCTCAGGTGATCCACCCGCCTTGGCCTCCAAAGTTCTTGGATTACAGGCGTGAGCCACCGCGCCCAGCCTCTAAGTTCTTTTTTAGAGACTGTCTAGCTCTGTCACCCAGGTGGCAGTGTAGAGGCACAGTCATAGCTCACTGTAACCTCAAACTCCCAGATTCAAGTGATCCTCCTGCCCTGGCCTCCAGAGTAGCATGCCGTATGTACCCTGGCTAACTTCTTCATTTTTTATTTTTTAAAAATTTCCTCGTCTTCCTCCTCCTTCCCAGCTAACTTCTTATTCTTATTATTTTGTATGGAGATAGGTTCTCAAAATGTCACCCAGACTGATCTCTAATTCCTGGCCTCACAAGATCCTCTCAGCTCAGCCTTCCAATAGTCCTAAGTTCTTCTTCTTCTTCTTTTTTTTTTTCTTGAGATGGGGGTCTAGCTCTGTAGCCCAGGCTGGAGTGCAGTGGCACGATCTCAGCTAACCACAACCTCCACCTCCAGGGTTCAAGCAATTCTCCTGCCTTGGCCTCCTGAGTAACTGGGATTACAGACGCCCACCACCACACCCAGCGAATTTTTTTCTGCATTTTTTTTAGTAGAGACAACGTTTCACTGTGTTGGCCAGGCTGGTCTCAAATTCCCGATCTCCTGATCCGCTGCCTCAGCCTCCCAAAGTGCTGGGATTACAAGTGTGAGTCACCGCGCCCGGCCTCCCATAGTCCTAAACTCTAAGAACCAATCAACCCAACTGCTCAGCAACTGAGGGATGTTTGAGTGTGCATGGATATGTTTATTTATTTCTGTCCTGCTTTCACTGCAGTGGCAAACTCTGAAATACTCACCTAATGAAGCATTACACTGCCTTAAAAACATTGCTTACAAAGAGTTTATAACATGGAAAATGTCTTCCGTCGTAAAGGAAAAAAAGCGGCACACAATTGAAATGAGTCATATTTATCACATTGTCTAAAAGCAAGCAAAGAAAATCTTCTCCCAGCAAAGCCTGGCAGGGCAGGGAGACCAAGGCTAACAGTAGCCAGTGGTTCTCCCTCCCTTTATCCTCCTGTTCTCTATTTCCCAACTTTGATTGTTTGTTTTTGTTTTTTTTTTTTTGAGATGGGGTTTCACCAAGTTGGTCAGACTGGTCTGGAACTCTTGACCTCAGGTAATCTACCCACCTCGGCCTTCCAAATTGCTGGGATTACAGGCGTGAGCCACCACGACTGGCCCCAACTTTGATTTTTTTAAAACGGAGTCTCACTCTTGTCCAGGCTGGAGTGCGGTGATGAGATCTCAGCTCACTGCAACCTCCACCTCCAAGGTTCCAGTGACTATCTTGCCTTAGCCTCTGGAGTAGCTAGGGATCACAGGTGCGTGCCACTACAACCAGCTAGTTTTTGTATTTTTCTTAGAGAAGGGGTTTCACCATGTTGGCCAGGCTGGTCTCTAACTCCTAACCTCAAGTGATCCACCCACCTTGGCCTCCCAGATTACAGGCGTGAGCCACTGTGCCCAGCCTATTTTCCAACTTCTGAAAAATGTGTGCACATTACTAATAAAGTGGAGAAGCGTACCGTTTATGTTTCAAAATGACCTTGAGTAAGTAAGGAAGGAGGAGGTTGCTCTCAGCCCAGCTTCTGCTCCTCCCCCTGCTGCCCCACCTCATTGCCCAGAGATGCCCTCTGGGGCTGAGCCAGGTTTTATTTGCCCCAGGGCCCGGCAGTCCTGGCCTTCTCCACCCCAAACCACAGGGCGCTCAACAAAATCCAGTAGCTGCACCTGTTCCCAACTAGAAATGCTGCCTCCAGGCAGCCAGGGTCTCCCCCAAGGCCTCAGAGGGTTAACTCTGTCCTCCCCCAGGAATTCCCAGAAAGGACTCACAGAGGAATTTCCCAGACGTGCAGACAGACAGATAGACAGACACATCAGGCAGCTCCCGACACTAAGCACAGATGTTTGCCTGCGGGTGATGTGCGGGTAGCCAACACAGGCACACAACTTTGCGGTGAGAGGTAGCACAGAGCAACAACCGAGAAAAGCCCCACCTGGGCAGGCTGGGGCTGGCATGAGGAAGGACTGGGAGGGGGCCCCAGAGTGGGACAGCAGATGGAGTCTGCAGGCGCAGAAGTCCCTACTGTTGTCTCTGTCTGAATAGCACAGTGCCTGCATCTCTCCCTAGGCATAGCAGGCATGGCAGGGGCTCCAGGAGGGGTCAGGGCAGCGTGGCTGTGAGGAGCGGGGCTGCAGTCTGGGCTTGGGCTCTTAGCAAGTTTGTTGTCCTGGTGGCTTGTCAATATCCCCTACTGGCTTGGCGGCTCCCCAGGCAGTGATTTTATCTTAAACCCGCCCTGCCTTTCTCGGCACCCACCACAACACCCAGCTCATCACAACACTCCGCGTCAGCGTCAGCGTCTAGGGCTGCTCCAGTAGGACTGATGGTTAACCCCCATATGGATAGGGGAGTGGATAGAGGAGTGATGGGATCAAGGCCCGAAGTGACAATGCTGGGGACAGCGCCAAATCAGGGAAGGAGGGCTCCAGGTCCCGTCGGTGCCCAGAATTTCCCTGCACCCTCTGCACCCGGCTTGCTCCAGACCTAGACTCAGGCGAGAGCTGACGTGGCCCCGCCAGACTGGGCCTAGCGAGCCCGAACCTGCCCGCCCCAAGCAGCTGCAGCGTGGGACCTCCTATGTTCCCGTTCAGTCCCAGTGGTCAGAGAAAGCAGGGAATCCGGCCCAAAACTGTCTCCTCCAGGAGGCAACCGGGGCCACCCTCTGTAAAGAGCTACTAGCATCCCTCCCCTCTCTCGCCCCTCTGCTGGTTTTTCAGAGCAGTTATGTCCAGCATAAGTTAAGTTGCTTCACTGAACAGTGAGTGATCTCACTCACTCCACAGACATTTACTGACCATCTACTATACGTGCTAGATGCCACGCCAGGAGCTGGCAACAGGATAATGAACAAAACAAAAACCCCTGTCCTCGTGGAACTTTGACCCTACGGAAAGTGAGAACTGGGATGCAGTACTCTCGCCGGGGCCACGTGGGAGGTCGACACCCAGGTGGGGTTCCCCTAGGTGAGCAAAAGGCGCGTGAGGTGCTGCCCTGGGACCAGTCGGCTGATGGACTTCGGTCCGGGCAGGAGGGGCTGGCCGCAACCCGGACTAACGCTTGGCTGGGCACGTCGCCTGGCGCAGGTGCGCGAGGGAGAGGGCGGGTGGCGCTGGCCGTGCGCAAAACCGGGCCGTGACCCGGCCACCGGGTTACAGGCCTTGGTGGTCTTTAAGTATTTATCGTAAACGTAGCGAACAGGGCCTCCAGCGGCCTGAGCGCACGTGGGGGTGCAGTGGGGAGCCGGCTGGTCCCTCCCCAGCTCCAGGCTCCTCCCCCGCGGGTGTCAGCGCCAGACTTGCCGCGGCGTCCGGGCCCCGCGTAATTACAGGGGCTGTAGCCAGGCCTGGCCGTAAAAGAGAAGGATGAAACGGCCTGGGAACCCGGGAAGCTGGGCTGGAGCTGGCAGGGGTACCGGCTCCGCGGCTTCCCGGATGCGCAGCCGCAGGGAAGAGCTGGCTACGGATGCGCACACACAACACCAACCCGGCGCGTACACAGCCACACAACCAAACACGGAAACCACCAAACGCACTCAGACACACAGCATTCTGCTCTCCCGCTCCAGGCTCACTCCCGAGCCTAATCAAACACCTGCCCGCCCTCTCCACCCCAGGAGCTGACACCCGCCCGCCAAGCCCTCTCCAGACGGCAGCAGATCCCGGTCGGGAGAAGAGCCCCGAGAGGCAAATTCCAGCGGGTTTGTTTACACTGCGCGGGGGAGGGGGCCGAGCCGGGTACTGGGGCCCGACTGACTGGGAGCCCCAGCTCAGACTGGGCCAGCCCCAGCTGTGCAGCCTGATGACTGCGCACAAACAGCCCTCCGTTCCACCCCACCCCCGCTGCACGCCGGTAGGTGTCTCCCCTCCTCTTCACACGCTGTTCACAAACATTAGCATACGTATGTCAAAGAGTTTCACACGCTTCCACACACGCGGCTGCGATACTACTCACAAATGCTTTCACACTTGCGCGCCATCACACGTATTTCGTGTGTGGTTACAGTTCGTCACCCTTCATGCCCAGATTCTCACCGTCCATATTCAAGAGCCCGTTCGCACGGTGTGCGCGTGTGTTGTCTCACACGCGCGCGCGCGCGCACACACACACACACACACACACAGGTCATTTAATGCCTTCTGGCGAATCTAAAACAAGAACGGACCCCTCGCGAGCCCAGGGTCCCGCGTGTGGCTCCTGCGCGCAGGCACTGATGGTATGGACAGAAGCGCCCTTAGCCCCGGCCGCACACGTTACACACCCGATCACACACAGGGTCGCACTTTATTCCCGGCATCCAGGCGATGACACAATCTCCAGAACAAAGACAACATTGACAAGCCCAACAAAAACAAACAGCCGCGTGTGTGTGGGGAGGAGCAGTCGAGCGCAGAGTCCGGGAAGGGGGTGGGGGAGGAGGAGAGTGTGGGAACGCGGGCGCCCGAGCCTGGCTGTGCGAGGTTCGGAAAGGTGCGGGACACGTCAACAACCTCGCACCCTGCAAGGTCCGCACGCCACGCAGCAAAGCCGGGTCCCGTACCCCCGCGTTCGCACACACGCACTTGCGAGTTCTCCCTTTCTCCCGCACGCGACTGCGCCCAGGGACACAGGCCCACCACCCGAACAGGCTCACAAAGGTCCACGCAGACCCACAAGTGAGTGAACACACAGCTCTGAGCAGATCTGCCGGGGAAGAGGAGCGCGCCTTGCTCTCTCCAGCACCCTGGGCCTGCTTGCCTCTCCTGCCCGCCCCTCCTCCACCTCCCCAGCCCCCAAGCCCCGGGGCAGCCGCGCGCCGGGCGGGGCGAGGGCGGGGCGGGGTGTCGGGCGGCGCCGGCCCAAAAAGGCGGAGTCGCTAGGCTAAGGGGCCAGATCTTTGAGCCCAGCGCTGATTGAGCCTCGGAGAAAGCCAGCGGGAACCTAGACCCCGAGGAGCCCCGCGTCCCCGCCCGGCCTGCCCAGGCCCCGCGCTATGGAGTTCCTCTGGGCCCCTCTCTTGGGTCTCTGCTGCAGTCTGGCCGCTGCTGATCGCCACACCGTCTTCTGGAACAGTTCAAATCCCAAGTAAGCCTCGAGTCTCTCTGGCAACCTGGGCGCCCAGCTGGCACTGCCCTCCCCACCGAGATAACTGTCCCGGCCAACCCCTGAGCTGAGCCTAGGGGAGATGAGCGAGGTAGGAGGGGCGCTGTAGATTTTCCTCTCCTCACTTCTCCCACATATCTGGGAGCACCCCACCCCGGGCCAGGAACCTGCTGGTATCTACTTGCACAGGCTTACATCTGCCCTGCCCTTCCTTCTCTCTGACACTATTACTCTGAAGTGAGGGACCCATGCTGAGCAGTTTCTACCTCCAGCAGAGACCTGTCCCCTGGCAGCCAGGGTCCTTGTTCTAGGCCCCCCACTGTGAAAGCCTCGACTCCCCTCCTTGTGTGTCCCTTGGGCATCTGCCCACACTGACAGGTATCTGGCGTGACATCAAGAGTGCGCAGAATGCTCAAGGTAACCCAGAAGGAACTCTTAGGAAAGACCTGGGCTGTAGGCATTCATATGCATTCATCCTGTATTTAAAGCAAACCTGAAAAGCCCCCCACTAGGGTTCTTTTGGGGTGGCGTGAGTGAGGCACATGCTGTGTATGGGTAGGTTGAGGGAATCACTTGTTTATAGGGCTCTCAAGTAGTAAAACTGAAGAGCTAGAGAGAGGGTGATCATGGGAAAGCTTCAGAAGGAACGGAAGGGGTTAAAGGGGTTACAGAAGGCTCTGGGCAGGAAGGAGTTAATTTCTCCTGGGCAGGTTTAGGGCTGTGAGGCAAATGGTACTGGGAGGAAGACTCTGTCGGCCCCTTTGTTCTTGCCCTTGAGTTTTCTGAAGTTATAGGAACAATATTTGTGGGAATACTGGAGAGGGTGAGGGGGGTGGGGGAGGAGGACTGGGTAGCTTGGGACCACAAAAGCCACTCACCAGCTTAGCACCCTCAGCCCTATAGAGCCTGCACCCCACTCCCCTTGAGAAATATGTTGTGCCAGCTTCCTCTGACCCTGTGGCATCGCCTGGTGAGGTAGTCTGTTGTCTGTAGCTTGTTGGGGTGGGGGAGAGAACAGCCAGCTGCCAACCCCAGAGGGCAATGCCCTCCTGCCTGTGGGCACCGAGGAGGCCCAGCCAGCCCTCTATCACCCGCCGCCTGCTGCCTGTGCTCTGCCTCCTAGACCCAATGCATCTCGCCCTAGTATGGCAGAGAGCAAAGTCCCTGTTTATGCCCATGCCAGGTGTTGATTGAAGAAGGAGGAGGGGACAGGAAGCCATGAGTAGGGAGGGGGGGACCCTGGCCTTTTCCGTTCCCAAGCTCCCAGGTTTCCTCTCTTTCAGGAAGAAGCCTTTTCCTTACCCACCTCCCCGCCTTCCCTGACGCCGGTGCCCCCCTTTCCCAGATAGGGGACAACATCAGATGAAGGCTAAGTAGAGCAGACTGTACCCCCAGGAGAGGGGGGCTGGTGGGTGACCCTCTGGCCACACCACACACACACACACACACACACACTATCATACCCAGGACTAAAGACACGGCAGTCCAGAACAGAGTCCCCAAGCAGCCAAGCTGAGCCCAGCGTGGGGCAAATATGAGGCTACAATGAACTGGGTAGGTGTGAGGCTGGCATGGGTGACTCAGGCCAGTGGGCATCAGCCCTGGGATCTCCAGGCTTCAGGCAGGGGCAGCATGCTGAGAAGGGCACCGGCCTCCCACATGCTGGAGGGCAGGCCCCTCATTCCAACCTGCCAGCTCCCTTTGTCCGGAGGACAGTGTTGGGGACAAGTGGGTGCTGTGCCCTCCTGGGGTCCTGGGGGCTGTCCACATTTGACAAGGTAAATTTGCACAGGTTCTCATGAGTGCTGGGGCGGGTAGCAGAGGTGGATGAGGAATGAGTCAGTGCCCGTCACGGGAATGAGGGAAAGACGCCAGGCCCAGAGCTGAAATACCTGTTCCGAAATGGCTTCTATGTTTATCTCTCCAGAGAGGAATTTTAAAAGCCTCTCTGTGCTCCTCTCTCTCTTTTCCCCGGGGTGGGGGAGGGGCCTAGTAAGCCCAGTTTGGACGCTGGCATGCTGCTGCAAAGCCCGGCCTCTCAGGGGTCATGCTGACTGGGCAGTGGGTGCCCACCTCAGAATCCCCTCCACCTGACGCCTTCCTCGCCCTCCCCTCGGTGGACAGGGCTTTCGCTTTGAAGCAAGTTGGCACCAACTCTGCTGAGTCTCTAGCTGGCAGTGCCTGGGGGAATTAGAGAAACGGGCCAGCTTGGGGGGTGGGGAGAAGCACTTTTCCCCCTACTGGGACCCCACCCAGGCTGGAGCCAGGTGTCTGGAGCTGGTGGGGAGGGGCTGGTGGGCAGTCAGGCTGGAGCCGGCGGGCAGGGGGGAATGAACTAGGAGGGAGCTGGCTCCACCTTGGAGGAGGGGAGGGGAGAAGCCCAGAGCTCCAGCATTTCATCTGGAGGGAGGTGAAAGTGTGGCTTTTGGAGATAAAGGGACAGGGGCGTTTTGGGGTGCGCTGAGAAGGGGAAAGGAGACCAGTGCATAACTTTGAGTAGCTAGAAAGGGAGATTTGAGGGGGCTGAATGAACTGATGAGAGTGATTTAAAGGATTAGGGGCTTGGTATTCATGAAGGGTTAAAGATGATAAGAAAAAAAAGAAAAAGACTGGGGGCATTATCTTTTGGCTGGGGTATACAAGCTTCACTTTTGAGGAAAAGTGAAGCTGGAAAGTGTGAGATCTGCTCGGGGAGGCGGGGGTCCGGGAAACATGAGAGGAGTAAGGAGAGTGAAGACACAGATGTGTTGGGGGCTGGGGCTAGCATGGCAAAGGGAAGGGATTCCCTGGGTCCTGACTGCAGAAGGGACTGGCAGGGTCTCAGGTTGAGGTCCAAGAGCATTGAAAAGGAGCAACTGGCAGAACAGATGTAGGGGAATATTTACGGGTAAGAAGAGAAAGATAAGTGAGCTACAGAAACAGGTGGAAGTATCAGGGTAAATATCGGGGGTTATGGAAAATGCTTTGGTACCTGAGAGCTATTGAGTAGATGCTATTTGAAGGATCAACAGGAGACAGTGATGGGGGGGACAGGAATGTTTAGAGATGGCAGAAAGAAATGGAAGGCATCAAGATAAGGACATGTTGCGAGTTGAGACTTCGGAAAAGTCTCCTGGGGCCCAGTGTGAAAGGTGAGAGGTCATGTAAACAAACATTCAGAGGCCCAGGGATCTGGCTTGGCTTCTGAATGACACCGGCTTCTTCCCCTGCGTGTCCCCAGGTTCCGGGATGAGGACTACACCATACACGTGCAGCTGAATGACTATGTGGACATCATTTGTCCACACTACGAGGATCACTCTGTGGCAGATGCTGCCATGGAGCGCTACATCCTGTACCTGGTGGAGCGTGAGGAGTACCAGCTGTGCCAGCCCCACTCCAAGGACCAGGTCCGCTGGCAGTGCAACCGGCCCAATGCCAAGCATGGCCCGGAGAAGCTGTCTGAGAAGTTCCAGCGCTTCACACCTTTCACCCTGGGCAAGGAGTTCAAAGAAGGACACAGCTACTACTACATCTGTGAGTGCCTGTGAGGGGACAGTGTCTGTGTTCTTTCTGCCACCACACACACACTTGGGTACATGCTTGGTGCGGAGTCCAACAGCAGAGGACCATTTCAATTCTATTGAAATAGAATTCCAGTCCTGAATTCTATTTTCTTTTTCTTTTTCTTTTTTTTTTGAGACGGAGTTTCGCTCGTTACCCAGGTTGGAGTGCGATCTTGGCTCACCGCAACCTCCGCCTCCTGGGTTCAGGCAATTCTCCTGCCTCAGCCTCCTGAGTAGCTGGGATTACAGGCACGCGCCACCATGTCCAGCTAATTTTTTGCATTTTTAGTAGAGACGGGGTTTCATCATGTTGACCAGGATGGTCTCCATCTCTTGACCTTGTGATCCACCTGCCTCAGCCTCCCAAAGTGCTGGGATTACAGGCTTGAGCCACCGTGCCCGGCCCCTGAATTCTATTTTCATTCATCCATATCACAAATGTGAGTGAGCTTCTACTGTGTGCTGGGCACTCTGCTTGGCATGCGGGCACAGAGATAAATAAAACACTACAGAGCCCCTGTCCTCAAGGAAGCTGGGAAGAAACACACATAGGTTAACAGATCCTTAAAGCAGTGTGCTACAGTCGACATGAACACAGGGGCCTTGGGAAAATGACCTGGGCACCTGCCAGGCTATGGGGCTCAGAAAAGGCTCAGTGGGGAAGATGATCCTAGAGCTTAGGACAAGCAGAGGAGCTGGCCAGGCATGAAGGCACACATACAAAGGAAGCAAGACATCTTCAAGGAACTTCCTATGGCTCAGCCTGCCTGAAGTGGGAGGGACACAGGAACTGAGGAGAGGTGAACAGGACAGACCATGGGGGGCCTAAAAGGTGATAAGGAGTTTGGACTTTAACCTGAGGGCTCTCATCACTGATGGGTCTTATTTTATCTTTTGTGACAGAGTTTCCCTCTTGCTGTCCAGGCTGGAGTACAATGGTGGGATCTCTGCTCACTGCAATTTCCGCCTCCTGGATTCAAGCGATTCTCCTGCCTCAGCCTCCCAAGTAGCCGGGATTACAGGCAACTGCCACCATGCCCAGCTAATTTTGTATTTTTAGTAGAGACAGGATTTCACCATGGTGGTCAGGCTGGTCTCAAACTCCTGACCTCAAGTGATCTACCCACCTTGTCATCCCAAAGTGCTAGGATTACAAGTGTCAGCCACCACACCCAGCCTGATGGATTTTAAGTTATGAGATCACCCATCACTTTGGGAGGCCAAGGTCTCCTGATGTTCAAGACCAGCCTGGCCAATGTGGCAAAACCTTGACTCTACTAAAAAAGTAGAAATATTAACCAGGCGTGGTGGTGCACACCTGTAATCCCAGCTATTCGAGAGGCTGAGGCAGGAGGATCACTTGAACGCAGGAGGCGTGAGGTTACAGTGAGCTGAGATCATGCCACTACATTCCAGCCTGGGTGACAGAGCAAGACTCCATCTCAAAAAAAAAAAAGGGGGTTATGAGATCAGCTTTGTATAAAATGGATCTAGGACTCGTCAGTGGGGCCTAGGTAGGAATAGTTTTTTTCTGTTTGTTTTGAGACAGAGTCTCACTCTGTTACCCAGGCTGGAGTGCAGTGGTGTGATCTCAGTTCATTACAATCTCCCCCTCCCAGGTTCAAGCCATTCTTCTGCCTCCGCCTCCCAAGTAGCTAGAACTACAGGTGCATACCACCATGCCTGGCTAATTTTTGTACTGTTAGTAGAAACGGGATTTCACCATATTGGCTAGGCTGGTCTTGAACTCCTGACTTTGTGCTGTGTGTCTGCCCTGATTTCTACAACTGGAATTTTTTCATACAATGTTCTTCGTATCAAAATAAAGCAATGTACTTGGGTACATGCTTGGTGCGGAGTCCAGCAGCAGAGGACCAGTTCAATTCTATTGAAATAGAATTCCAGTCCTGAATTCTATTTTTTCTTTTTCCGAAACAGAGTTTCACTCTTGTTACCCAGGCTGGAGTGCAATGGCACCATCTCGGCTCACCGCAACCTCTGCCTCCTGGGTTCAGGCAGTTCTCCTGCCTCAGCCTCCTGAGTAGCTGGGAATACAGGCACGCGCCTGTTGGCCTCCCAAAGTGCTGGGATTACAGGCGTGAGCCACCGTACCCAGCCTAGGAGTAGTCTTAAGTGGCCCAGGCAAGAGGAACATATAGTGAAGCCCTCACACTTCAGACTCCAAGGAGTGAAGGATGAAATGTGGTGTGGGGACAGTGTCTATATTTTTATGTCACCACTGCCAAACCTGAGGGTTGTTTCCAAAGATGGGAGGTTGGGCTGACTATGGACAGGAAGTTAGCAAAAACTAAGGAGGGTAAGAATCAAGGTTAGAGGGAAGAGAAGAATGAAAATGAGTAGGAATCTGAGAAAGCAGTGAGGGGCATTTGGACTTATATTTTCTTCCAGCAAAGGTTTCTTCCTTAACCCCCTGTGGGCTTATCTTGCAGCCAAACCAATCCACCAGCAGGAAGACCGCTGCTTGAGGTTGAAGGTGACTGTCAATGGCAAAATCAGTGAGTGTCAGGGCCCTGTGGGCCTCCTTCCTCCACCTCTATGCTGGGTGCAGTCTAGTGATCTGGGATGGTCTAGAAGTCTTGCAGCCCAGCCACTCAAACTCACAGCCCTCTGCCTCTTTGATACAATACCCGATCTATTACCACTCTTGTCTTTCAGCTCACAGTCCTGAAGCCCATGACAATCCACAGGAGAAGAAACTTGCAGCAGGTGGGTAGCTGGAGCAAATTGGGCCTGGGGCACAGGAAGGGGTCTGCTTGAGGAGGTTGGGTACAGGAAGTGGCTCCTTTACCAGGCAGAGGCTGAGGGAACCCTGTTGGGCTGAGGGCCAGGGTAATAGTGGGGCCATTCACATTGGGGGCCTTTGCCCTCTTGCCTTACAGATGACCCAGAGGTGCGGGTTCTACATAGTATCGGTCACAGTGCTGCCCCACGCCTCTTCCCACTTGCCTGGACTGTGCTGCTCCTGCCACTTCTGCTTCTACAAACCCCATGATGAAGGTGTATGCCACACGTGGCCTTAAGGATTGGAACTGGACTGAAGAGAGGGACAGGCACTCCAAACCTGTCCTGGGGCCACTTTCAAAGCCCCCAGCCCTGGGAACCACTCCCACCACATGCACAAGCTGTCACCCGGAAGCCTCAAAACGGGTCAGTATTAAGGGTTTCAACTGGAAGGAGCCCGGCCCGGCAGTGCCATCCCCACCTTCAACTCAGAGGGATGGAGAAAAGTGGAGACAGTCCTTTCCCACCATTCCTGCCTTTAAGCCAAAGAAACAAGCTGTGCAGACATGGGCCCTTAAAGCACAGTGGGAGCTGAGCTGGAAGGGGCCACATGGATGGGCAAAGCTTGGCAAAGATGCCCCCTCCAGGAGAGAGTGAGGATGCCCAGATGAACTGACTGAAGGAAGAGCAAGAAACAGTTTCCTGCTTGGGAGCCAGGTACAGAAGAGGTAGCATGCTTGGGCTGACCCAGCATCTCCCAGCCAAGACCTCATCTGTGGAGCAGCCACAGAGAGGTTTGTAGCCAGGTACTGCATTCTCTCTCATCCTGGGGCAGCACTCCCCAGAGCTGTGCCAGCAGGGAGGCTGTGCCAACCTGTTCTTAGAGTGTAGCTGTAAGGGCAGTGCCCATGTGTACAGTCTGCCTAGAGTGTAGCCTAAAGGGCAGGGCCCACATGTACAGTATCTGTATATAAGTTGCTGTGTGTCTGTCCTGATTTCTACAACTGGAGTTTTTTTATACAATGTTCTTTGTCTCAAAATAAAGCAATGTGTTTTTTCTGGACTTGCTTTTCTGCCACTCCATATTAAAGCTTATGACCATTGAGTCCCTGTTAAGTACTAGGCTCTGTGCTACCACAGTAGCAACTGGGTTTGAATTTCTTTCTCTCCCAAGAGCATGCCCCTCACCAGGCTAAAAGGGTGGGGTGTTTCCTTCTCTGAGTGTTGTTCAAGACCAGAGTGCTCCCGACCAGAGTGCTCCCGACAGCAGTCTCGGGTTCTGAGCGGCACTCCACTATGAAGTTCTTCCTGTCCAACCTCTCACCCCACTCCCACCCCCTCACCGCAGGGCTTTGGCATAACACCGTTCAGGTACTCATGCTGTTTGGGTGAGTCAGGGAAGCTGGGAACGCCAGCTGAGGCATGCGGCCCCACCTCACAGCCACACCAGCAGAGACGTGTGGGAGGCTGGGAGGGAAAGTTGCCAGCAGCAAGTGGGTTGGACCGGGGCGGGGGGGGGGGGGGGGTCAGTGATAGAGGCGTCATTCATATAAAGTTGACCTGACCTTGTAGCCCGAGAGGAAGGGCAAAAGAGGAAGGCTTGGTGATTCTCGGCAATGTCTGTTATTTTGAGGAAAGGCTTCGGCAGGAAACTTCAGGAAAAAACCTCCCAAACCCTGGGCAACTGGGGTTCTGATGTGGAGCTCTGGATGGAAAGCGTGCTGAAGTCTGGTTGAATCTACCAAGCTTTTGTTTGGAGGTCCACCGCCGAAGGCGTACAGGTCTGTGGGAACACGAGCGTTGAGACTGGGGTCTAGATGATCCAAAGGGTAGGCACAGTGTGAGGAGCGGCAGGTATCGGGGACACATCTGCAAAGCCCTAGGAAGGGGACCGACCGGGACCTGGAAGAGGGATGGACCAGGGCACTGGGCAGGCGCTCGAAGGGGCCGGGCGCGAGTTCCGGTTCGGTGGCGGAGGGGGCGGGGCTTAGCGCAGTTTCCGGAGGGACGGCCCGAGCGCGCGGGGGCGGAGCCGAGTGCGCGGGGCGGGGCTCCAGCGCCGCAGGTCTAGGCCGCCGTAGGTCCCGGCCACCGCAGGCTGGCGGCTGTCGCTGAGCGCGGGATCCGACTCTGGTCGTGATGGAGGCGGGCGGCTTGCTCGACTCGTTCATTTACGGAGCATGCGTGGTCTTCACCCTCGGCATGTTCTCCGCCGGCCTGTGAGAGCGCGGCGGGACTGGGCTGGGGAGGACTAGGAAATCAGGAAAGAAGAGAGAGAGGGCAGAGACGTGGCCACAGCACCTGGCTCATCTGGAACCCGGGATCAAAGTGGGATCGGGTCGAGGGGACCAGGGTACAAGAGCGAGGCTGGTCACTAGGCCTGAGGGAGAAGGCAGGATAGCTGGGGGCGGGGCGGGGTCTGCGGTGGTCCGGGAAGGATGACAGGCATTGGGCATCCCCACCAAACACTCTGCTTCTCCCTTCCCACCCTTCACCCCTCCCTTCGGGGCCCCATTACAGCTCAGACCTCAGGCACATGCGAATGACCCGGAGTGTGGACAACGTCCAGTTCCTGCCCTTTCTCACCACGGAAGTCAAGTGAGGGAGTGACGGCTGCGGTGGTGGGAAAGGCTATCAGAGGGAGGTGGGGGCGGGGTAGGAGCATGAGTGAAAGAGCCCCTTTGGGTCCTCCTCTCACAGTGACCCCTTTGAGCCATGTCCCTCTCCACCCTGCAGCAACCTGGGCTGGCTGAGTTATGGGGCCTTGAAGGGAGACGGAATCCTCATCGTCGTCAACGCAGTGGGTGCTGCACTTCAGACCCTGTATATCTTGGCGTATCTGCATTACTGCCCTCGGAAGGTAGAGGCCCTACCTTGGACCCACCTCTCTGCTGCACGCTTTGCCTTGCTGGCAGAGCAAACACTACTTCCTAGAAGACTAACAGGTGGCACTGCCACTCTTTCCAGGAAGGCCCCTCCAGCCTTGCAGGTCTCCTTCCTCTGTGAAGCCAGCCTTCTGAGATTCACACATTGCCCCCATTTAGGCAAGGCTGGTAGTGGTATCTCGCCTAAGATGCTTATGCTGCCAGCGAGCTAGGGGGAAAGGGCTTTTGTCTCTGATATTTTTTTCACAGCCAGGGCCTGAGGGTGAGAATGAGATGATTAGCTCTGCTTCCCTGCTCAATCACACAAGCATTTATTAAGCTCCTACTGTGTGTGCCAAACACACAGAAAGAAACACATCTTTCCCTGCCCTAGAAGTCTCTGGTGTTGTGAAGACTTTCCTATCAAGTTGCTGGTGGGAAAGATGCTGTGACAGTGCAGTGCTGGAGGCCTAAACACTTTGGTTTCCCCATTGGAGCATGGGAAAATGTAGGATGAATTAATTCTAGCAGGGAAGTCCGAGTGCACTCTGGAAGTAAGGCTACTCTCTCCCCTGCAGCGTGTTGTGCTCCTTCAGACTGCAACCCTGCTAGGGGTCCTTCTCCTGGGTTATGGCTACTTTTGGCTCCTGGTACCCGACCCTGAGGGCCGGCTCCAGCAGCTGGGCCTCTTCTGCAGTGTCTTCACCATCAGCATGTACCTCTCACCACTGGCTGACTTGGTGAGTGGGGGAGTCCAAGGAGGTAGAAGAGGTAAGAGTCAGGATCTCATAGCCAAATACTATGCCTTACAGTCCAGAGGAAGGGGAGATCCAAACCCTGGAAGGAGACAAGGCAGTAGAGGTGGGCGAGTGGGAGGCAGGAAAGGCAGTGACAGATCAGAGAGGGTGTCTGACCCTTTTCCAGAGAAAATTCTTAGGCAAGTGAAAGCTTTACTATGTGCTCGGCCCAGGAGAGTCTTTCATTCTTTCCCACAGGCTAAGGTCATTCAGACTAAATCAACCCAGTGTCTCTCCTACCCTCTCACCATTGCTACCCTTCTCACGTCTGCCTCCTGGTGCCTTTATGGGTTTCAGCTCAGAGATCCCTACATCATGGTAAGCAGAACAGGGATGGGGTGACAGGTATGCAAGGTGGAAAACTGGCTCCTCTCCTCATAGCAGTTCTTGTGATTTCAGGTGTCCAACTTTCCAGGAATCGTCACCAGCTTTATCCGCTTCTGGCTTTTCTGGAAGTACCCTCAGGAGCAAGACAGGAACTATCGGCTCCTGCAAACCTAAGGCTGCTCACCTGACCACTGGGCACCTTAGTGCCAACCTGAACCAAAGAGAGCTCCTTGTTTCAGCTGGGCCTGCTGTCCAGCTTCCCAGGTGCAATGGGTTGTGGGAACAAGAGATGACTTTGAGAATAAAGGGACCAAAGAAGGAGCTTTACTTAGATGATTGGTTGGGGCCTAGGAGATGAAATCACTTTTATTTTTTAGAGAGATTATTTTTTTTAATTTTGGAGGTTGGGGTGATATGTTTAGAATATGCCTTAAAATAAAGTGTTCCCAACCCCTGCCCATGATGGTTCATTTCTACTCATGACTCTAAACCTGCCTGGTTTGGTGACAGGTGGATCCAGTTATTCTCAGGTTGGTAGGGTAGGCTCAGAAAAGGTATCTCAAAGAACCAAAAGGTTGGAAAGACCCAGGAAGGCCTTACAAAGAACAAAAGTTGGATGTTATAAAGAATGGAAGCCTTCAAAAAAGTAGTTCTGGCTGGATAAGGTGGCTTATATCTGTAATCACAGCATTTTAGGAGGCCCGGGTGGGAGGATCACTTGAGCCCAGGAGTTCAGGAAGAGCCTGAGCAACACAGCCAGACCCTGTCTCTACAAAAAATTAAACATTAGCCTGGTGGCACATGCCTGTAGTCCCAGTTAGTCTGGAGGTTGAGGTAGGAGGTTTGTTTGAGCCCGGGAAGGTGAGGCTGCAGTTGATTGCACCACTGCACTCCAGCCTGGGCAACAGAGTGAGATCCTGTCTCAAAAAAAAAAAAAAAAAAAAAAAGAAGTACTTCCTATAGGGTTAAAAGGACCAGGACAGTGAAATGTAATTTCCATCCTGAGAAATCTTGAGAAGGGGTCTTTACCTCCTTGGGAGCAAAAATGGGAACACCAGCAAGATGCAAAGATAAAGGCTGAGATGGCCTCAGGAAGGTGGTTCTTTCACATTCACTTATTGACCGTTAGTACACAGAATCCCCAATACCCATTTTCCATACTCAAACTAAACGAAGTTAGAAAATAAACTGGCTCTTTAATGGGGAATGGGAGGAAGGGCTGTCCGGGCAAGAATGGGGTTAGACTGTCAGAAGCGCAGCCCCCGGCGGGCTAAGTCGGCTCGGGCCTCCTGTATCTGGCTCTGCAGCTCGCGTGCGGCATCTTCACAGTCATGAAACGTGGCCACACGATAGCCCACAGTGCCCAGGGCATAGCAGCCGGCGGACACCAGCAAGTAGGCGGGCAGTGGCCACAGGACTTCCTGGCAGGACAAGGGCAGCTCCAGGCCCAAGGCTCCCGTGGTCAGGGCCGCCCAGGTGGAGCCCAGGATGGCCAGTCCCCAAAGCCACTGCGCTAATTTCGTCATGATCACTGCGAGAAAAGAAAGCAAAGCTCCCCTGAGGAGCAGAAAGGAAAAGCGGACCAAATTCAGCCGACGCCCGCCCACCAGAGGGAGCATTTAAATCAGCCCTAGCCAGAGGGGAATCACTGATCCTAGCGGTTCGAACCTGAGTGCCCACAAAAGGTGTAAGGGTTCCTTCCACCTTGCTAACCCCTCTACATTTCAGACCCATTCCCCAGCTCTCGCCCTCTCCATTCAGTCTTCAATCCACACTTACTTACCTTTTGGCCCAGCGTCTCCCCTTCCCCGGCGGCCCGGCAGTCTGCGTCCGGAAATCCTCCCTGGCTCACGTTCTGTTTCCGCGCAGCCTTCTGGGAGTTGTAGTTCATAAGGCAGCACCTGGCGTACTCGTGGCCACCGCCTCAGTCTAGGCGGGGTCCAGCAGGCTGTGCTCCGCAAACAGCGAGCTGGGAGAGCCCTCCGGGTTGCTTCCCCACCTTGGGCTACGCTCTAAGCTGGCGTGGGGCTTGAGGACATCCTTAAATGTTGCAACACCATGGGAATATAATACAGTTCCCCTTAAACTCAATTCTCCAGCACTGAAATCTTCATTCACCTGTTCATTCATTCGAACATTCTTTCTTTTTTTTCTTTCCGTTCTTGACAGGGTCTCTCTATAGTGCCTAGGCTAGACAGAACTTTTTATTTTTTTGAGATGGAGTCTCGCTCTGTTGTCCGTACTGGAGTATCGCAGTGGCGCGATCTCAGCTCACTGCAACCTCGATAGCTGGGATAACAGGCACGCGCCACCACACCTGGCTAATTTTTGTATTTTTAGTGGAGACGAGGATTTCACTATGTTGGCCAGGATGGTCTCGAACTCCTGACCTCAAGTGATCTGCCCACCTCAGCCTCCCAAAGTGTTGGGATTACAGGCGTGAGTCACTGCACCCAGCCAGAACAGTTCTTGATTACCATGATAGACTGTAGAGATATAGAAATGTCAAGAGATTCAACCCCTCCTTGTGTGGAGGGGGAAAGCAGGAGTCAGGGAAGTAGTTGCATTGACAACTAACCATGAAGGCTTGAGATTCTTGTTAGAACAGAAGTAGTCACATTTTTACAAGGACAACAACCAATATAACTTGGAGCCAGAGGAAGAAGGGCTCCAGGAGACTGTGAGAAAAGGAATGAAGGAGGGAAGGAAGGAGAGAGAGAGAGAGAGAGAGAAAGGAAAAGAAAGGACCAGAAGAATTGCCCTAAATGGTGAAGGTATTAGGGTATATGGCTGAAGAAATTTCTAAGCAGCAAAGCATTCAATATGTGATTTGGGTTCTGTTAAAGGCATTCAATTTTATAAGGGAAGCAGAGCCTAAAAGTTTGGAAAATTTTCAGCCTGAGGATGCAATAGAAAAGAAAAACCCATTTTCTGGGGAAAAATTCAAGCCAGCTGCAGAAACGTGCATAAGTAGTAAGGAGCCTAATGTTAATCCCCAAGACCATGGGGAAAATGTCTCCAAGCCAGGTCAGAGACTCATGGCAGCCCCTCCCATCAGAGGCCCAGAGGCCCAGGAGAAAAAAGTGGTTTCATGGGCCTGGCCCAGGGTCCCCATGCTGTGTGCAACCTAGAGACTTGGTGCCCTGTGTCCCAGACGCTCCAGCTGTGGCTGAAAGGGGCCAACATACAGCTCAGGCTGTGGCTTCAGAGGGTGGAAGTCCCAGATTTTGCCAGTTTCCATGTGGTATTGAGCCTGTGGGTGCACAGAAGTCAACCCTGAGGTTTAGGAACCTCCACCTGCATTTCAGAAGACGTATGGAAATGCCTGGATGCCCAGGCAAAAGTTTGCTGCAGGGGCAGGGCCCTCATGGAAAGCCTCTGCTAGGGCAGTGCAGAAAGGAAATGTGGGGTCAGAACCCCCAAACATAGTCCCTACTGGGGCACTGCCTACTGGAGCTGTGAGAAGAGAGCCACCGTCCTCCAGACCCCAGAATGGTAGATCCACTGACAGTTTGCACTGTGCACCTGGAAAAGCCACAGACACTGGATGCCAGCCAGTGAAAGCAGCCAGGAGAGAGGCTATATCCTGCAAAGCCACAGGGGCAGAGCTGCCCAAGACTATGGGAACCCAACTCTTGCATCAGCATGACCTGGATGTGAGACCTGGAGTCAAAGGACAGCATTTTGGAGCTTCAAAATTTGACTGCCCCACTGGATTTCGGACTTACATGGGCCCTATAACCCCTTTGTTTTGACCAATTTCTCCCATTTGGAATGGCTGCATTTACCCAACACCTGTACCCCCATTATATCTAGGAAGTAACTAGCTTGTTTTTTTATTTTACAGGCTCATAGGTGGAAGGGACTTGCCTTGCCTCAGAGACACTTTGGACTGTGGATTTTTGGGTTAATGCAAAATTAGTTAAGACTTTTAGGGACTGTTGAGAAGGCATGATTGGTGTTGAAATAAAAGAATATGAGATTTGGAGGGGCCAGGGGCAGAATGATATGGTTTGGCTGTGTCCCCACCCAAATCTCAATTTGAGTATCTCCCAGAATTCCCACAGGTGGTGGGAGGGACCCAGAGGGAGGTAATTGAATCATGGGCACCAGTCTTTCCTGTGCTTTTCTCGAGCTAGTGAATAAATCTCCCAAGATCTGATGGGTTTATCAGGGGTTTCTGCTTTTGCTTCTCATTTTTCTCTCACCACCGCCACATAAGAAGTGCCTTTTGCCTCCCACCATGATTCTGAACCTCCCCTACCCAGGTGGAACTGTAAGTCAACGAAACTTCTTTTTGTTCCCAGTTTTGGGTATGTCCTTATAGCAATGTGAACATGAACTAATACAACAGGATATGGGAAAGGCTTGACTTTAATATTTATATTTTAAAATGTATTTACTTACTTAGTTGGATATGAAGTCTCACTATGTAGCCCAGGCTGTACTTAAACTCCTGGGTTCAAGTGATCCTCCTGCCTCAGCCTCCCAAGTAGCTGATACTATAGGCTAGCTAAAATTTAAATGAAGCAGTGCTTTGATAGGTTCGAAGTAGGCATAACTTTAAGTGAAGGGATCAAGAAGAAGTCCGAGCTGAGGATCCACTTGGAAATTACAAAGTTAAAATAAATGTAGAATGTAGTGTCCAAAACCCCACTATCTAGGCTGGGAACAGTGGCTCATGCCTGTAATCCCAACACTTTGGGAGGCCAAAGTGGAAGGGATGGCTTCAACCCAGGAATTGGAGACCATTCTGGACAACATAGCGAGACCCTGTCTCTATTTAAAACAAAACAAGGGCCGGGCGCAGTGACTCATGCCTGTAATCCCAGCACTTTGGAAGGCCGAGACAGGTGGATCACCTGAGGTCAGGGGTTCAAGACCAGCCTGGCCAACATGGTGAAACCCCATCTCTACAAAAAATAAAAACAAACCTCACTGTCTGAAGCTTTCCACTCGGGTTGGAAATGGAGGCTACTTTTCTGTTGAAGAATCCACGTGGCTCAGAGCTTCTGGCAAGAGAATGATGTTCCATTCTCACTGACTGATTGCAAATAGCAAAGTTTGTGACTATGATTTTAGAAAATGAGGTTTCTCAGCCTTATGTCCTTGATGTTAATTAACAAAAGCAGTTTTTTACAGATTCACAGTCTTACTACAAACACAAATGGCTCAGCTGCGAAGAAAATTTTCACAGCCATAATAATGTAAACACTAAGTATTGATTTAACTAAAAAGTGGAGCTGGGCACAGTGGAGCTGTGATCTCAGAACTTTGGGAGGCCAAGGCGGGACGATTGCTTGAAGAAATGTAGAGGTAAGAATCAGAAGTAGCTGAGAAACTTGGGCCTGGTTGTATATGCAGGTTGGATACTTAAGGGTTACAAAAGAGAAGCAGGGGATCTTTATTTTTCATTAAAAGCCTTGTTTTTTTTTTTCTTCTTCTTTTTCTTTTT